GGGGCCTGGAGGCAAGGGGAGCCGGGAGAAGCTGCAGGCGCCCTGCACCTCAGGCCGTGTTGCCTGCACACTGCCCAGCACGGCCAAGGCCACCTCGCTCCCGCCTGGAGCCTTGCGACTCCCTGCCTGCGGCACGGGAAATCTCCGTCCAACCCAGCCAAAGCAACACAATACAACAGAAGACTACGGACCGAGACTGGAAGTTCGAAGGGGAGGGAGGAATATGATTTTCCTTTTGGCATCTCTGATTTCCCACGAGTTGACGCCTGTCAGGGACACTCCAGAAAGCTCAACGCCCTGACCCCATCACCGCCCGCGCCAAGTGGCATGCACCGAGCTGGGATGGGCACCTGGACACTCCCTGGCTCCCGCATCAGTCCCACACCGGCGCGACGTCTGCCACCCCCGGCTGTTGCCGCGCTGGAGCCAGCGGGTGCTGGTGGAGCTGAGGGCGCAGGAAGGCGGCTGGGAAGCTGGTGCAGCGGCACCCCATCCAGAAAGCCTTTCTCCCCTTGCTTTGCCAAGGTTTTTATCCTAATGAGCTTCCCACTCCCAAGAAGCACAGAAGATGGAGAGCAGAGCAGGCTGCATTTACCAACGGCTCAAAAAGCAGGGAGCAAGAGAGAGGGAAAGCACCGAGGAGCGCGTGGCGCCCAGCACGGGTGCTTCAGGGGTGATGGCGAAGGATGGGGAAAGGGGGGGCTGCTGCAGGGGAGCGGCACGAGGAGCAGAGGTAAGAGGGGTACTCCCACGCACGCCCAGCCCAGGGGAAGGAGGAGAAATGCCGGGCCTCTGCAGAGGGAGGCTGCCCCAGGCAGAAGGGAAGAGGAGGACCGTAAGTAGGGATGGAGAGGCAAGAGGGAAAGACAACCTGTGAGAAAGGTACAGATCAGTCATTCAACTGCCATCAGTGCCCTCCTGCCTCACACCTCTCCTGAAACGCTTTTAAATCTTTCCTGATGGAATGTTTGACACATTTAATGCATGCAGTAAAAATTAAAGTAATAGATAACTTCATATTAATCTGTACAGGGACTGACAGGCTAGATTTAATCACTTCCTAGCTGTTCAGAGTTAACTTATTCTAGCGTGATTCAAAGGAAAGGTAAAGGATTTTTTTTTTTTTTCTAAATCAGCCATTTCATAGTAAGAGAATAAATGTGCCGCAGCCACGTGTGCGTTAGCGCTGGGGGAAGGGAATACCTGCAGGAGAGCCAGAGGTGCTCTGCGAAGGGCGTGCGAATCGCAAACGCCTTGTTTCATCCTCCTCGCTGAACGGCTACAATGAAAGATTGAAAGACGATTATCTGCTTTCCATCTCCAGCCCACGGGCTTTGGGATCTGGGGTTCAATGCCAACCGTGAGACGTAATTCCCGTTGCGGCCGAGCCCACTCCTGCCTCTGCCCCCAGTGCAGGTGTCTCTGGAACGCGTGGCCTGCCCCGGAGCCTTGCTCTGAGCAGGGACACGGAGCCGAGCAAGGACCAAGAGGCTGTGGAAGGTCGGGCGACCCCGGAACGCGTGCGGTGCCCTCTTGGGCATTGCTGCTTTCCGCGCGGGAGGAGGCTTGCACGGGGACGGGCAGCAAGGCGACAGTGAAGCCGTGGGGATGCGATGGCCGGGCAGGGCCCCTTCCCCGAGCGCAGACCGCAGCAGTCCCTTCTCAGCCGCCCAGCATCCCTGCCTGGCAAAGCCAGCGCAGGCACGGAACACGGCTCTCTGCCCTTCCAACAGGTTTTTCACAGCCGTGCTGGGCATCGCTGACCCTGCTCTGCACTGCAGACCCCCAGCCGGCTTTTAATCGTGCCACAGGGGCTGAGGAGCCCGGCAAAGGCCGTGCAGGACAGGGCAGAGGCCTGGCCGCTTTCAGCCTCCACGGCACCCGACACAAGCAAGGACGAAGCAACCACACCTTGCCAGTAAATGGATGAGATGCAAAACACAGTGAAAAATCACCTTAAGTCAGTCCCTTCTCTCAACCCTATTCCAATGGCAAATCCTGGCTTAGGAGGGTGCCAGGCAGGATGTGCACGAGTCCAGGGTGAGGGCCAGGACTCCCCTTCCACAGAGCACTGACATCAGAACGAGCTCAAGCCCTCAAACAGAGAGAGACCCAACCTTCAGGCTAGCGCTGCAGGAACTGCTTCACCATCAAAGACCACAGAAATCATCACAAGGGATGGGAGGAGAAGGTCTGTCCAAAAGAAGAGCGCAGCAGGACCCCATTCATCCCTGAAGCCAGCAAGAAATACAGACGGTACAGCCCCGCGCGCCCGCCCGGCAGCAGGGGATGCGGCAGGCTGGTACCCGCAGCATCTCCTCCGCCCCAGCGAGATCTCCCCACCCCACGGGCTGCGCGACAGGGGAGCGAGGCAGCCATCAGCAGTACGTACACCAGCAACCAACTAACACCTTTACGCCGGTGGGACACCAGCAGCTGCTCCTAACAAACCCACGAAGGACAGATTCGCCTTTCTCTCCCTCACCGACGGGAAAATGGTTTTGGTTTACGTGTCACTAAGAAGACAGACAGGAGGACTCTGAAGGAAAGGGAAATGTTTGCGTGCACCCAAAGGCTGCCGAAAGCTACTTCATGTGCACGAAGGTGGTTTTCTTTCTGCTACAGTACAAGTGCTTGTGCCTCAAGTATAAAACGCAAGCCTCCAAATCACACAGACGAGCTTCTTATTTTTATTTTTAAAGTGATAAATAAGGCACTGTACTTTTAACTAAAACTGCCTGGTTCCAAGTTTAAAAAAAAACCCAAGGAACGTTCAAACTGCAGAAACTACCTTCTGAACAGCAGAGCCAGACAGGCCAACCTCTTCTCTGTCCAAGACACACCTGCCGATGCCTAAAATCACGGGCGTTATCCTTTAACTGCGGATTTTTAAAGGCTTGCTACAGCTTATAAAAGCAGCTTTAGTTAATGCATGGTAAAGGGTTACTACTATACATCGGTTTTGTACATGGCTACCGGTTCTTTGCTATTTCGGGTCCAGTCGCGAGCGCTTGCTGTGCGAACAGTCCACTTTTGCCCTCAGCTTCCTCTTGCCCTGCGACCCGCTGCTCTCCTGCATCTTCTTCATGGACCTCGTCAGGGTCTTCCCACCGCTGGGCTTTTTGTTGGCCAGCTTCTGCGACCGGGTGGATGACTCCCCCAGGGGTTTCTGCTTCAAGGACTTGGCCAGCTCCTCGTGGCCAGCGGGCAGGATGGCCCGTCTGCTCGTGTTCTCCTTGCCCTTCCGCACGGGGAGCCGCACCTTCTCCAGCTGCCTTTTCGGTGCTCTCTTCTCTTTCAAAGACATCTTCCTAGCCAGCTTATTGCTCCTCTCCATGGCAGCCTGCTTTCTGGTGGCCGGAGCTTTCGCGCTGACCTCCGAGTGCTTTATTTTACTGGCCTTCTTGGCAGGCAGCTTGTCCTTGGCAGAGGAGCCGGACCGCTCCTGCATGCTCCCGCTCTCCTTCAGCATCCTCTTCTTCCTGTTGAGCTGGAGATCAGCTTTGGGCGAAGGGTCCTCCTGGGACCTGCCCTTCCCCTTCCGCCCCTTCCCTGTCCCATCCACTGATGGAGATTTAGCAGGAAAGGCGTCTGCTTTGATCTGCAAGGCCAACTTGGGAGACATCAGTGGGTTGATGCACACGAAAAACTCCAGGGATGGGTGGTCCCCCAGGCTGTCGCTCTTCCTCTCCGCCTTCACCGCACGGTGCTGGGCTCGCAGCTTGCCCCGCAGGTTGGAGTACTTCCGTAGGATCCGGGTGCTGGCCTGCGTGGGCAAGCTGGGGGCAGGCTGGATGGTTCTGTCTTCACTCGGGTCCTTGGCACTGGCGTTGGCAGGAGACGTCTGGCTGGGAGTGGCGGCTTCTTCAGCTTCTGCTTTATCAGCGTTCTCCCGAATTTTGGCCCAAAGCTTTTGGTTCTTGAGGTTGTTCCGAGCCGGGGTAGTGGCGGCAAACTTCTTGAGGTGTTTTTTCAAACGTTCGGCTTGCAGTGAGCTGGGGTAGAGGCTGGAGGAGGAGTATTTCTGCATGGGGACTTTGATGGGGGGGATTTCCCCCGGGAGACGCGTGTTGAGTTTCTTCATGATCACTAGAGACCTGGTTTCAGTCGTCTCCAGAAACCACTGGCAGATGTCGGACAGCTTAAAGGCCTTCATGAACAGCATCTGGACAGGAGAAAGCTTCTGCACTTCCAGCGAGCCTCTACTTTTCCGTGTCCTTTTCTTGCTTTTCCAGATCTCTTTCAGTTTGTCGGCTTTGTTCTTTACCTTGGGGGTCGGCTGCACCTCCTTCTCCAGCTGGATCCAGCCCTTCTGAACTTTCATGTACTGGGCATTGAACTCGGCGATGAGCTCCTGGTTCTCCTCTTCAGCACACCACTCCATGAACTTTGGTTTGCTGTCAGCCACATCTATGTCCTCCAACGCTGGGGAGTCGTCATTCCCTGAACTGCATTCGTCCCTCAGTTTGGGGACCGCTTGCATAGACTCCTTCCCTGCTGCGCTCTTTTTTGTAGTTTCCACGGGCACGGGCGCGTGTCTCAAGTTATAAAACTGCAGGGCGACCTTTTTATGCTTCGCAACCTTTGCTGGAAGATGCTTGCCGCCACCTCTGCTGCTGGGACACGGAGGCGAACTGGCCACTGGCTCGTAGTTGTCCAGCTTGCCCATATCCGTGGCACTGTCAGAGCTCTCTTCATCCTCTGCACTGGCACCGCCTGGTTGCACACACACTTGCTCGGCATCGTTCGCAGGCACGCTGCTCTCCGGAGGGAGGAGAATGCTGCTCTTCTCAGGATCAGCCTGGACGCCAATTTGCAGCGTCTCAGCTGGTTGACTTCGGCTGGCGTCATCTTGAGAGGAACTTTCTCCCTCTGCCACAGTCTCTTTCGCTAAGACGCTTTTACAGGTTTGTCTGGTAGTGACGCCATTCTCCTCGCCCGGCTGCGGCTCAGTGATGCTCTCCGGTGCTGGGCCGGTGCCCGGTCCCTCGCTGCTTTGGAGCAGCGTGTTGGGGAAGCAGTCGGTGGGGAAGTGCGCGGGTGCTGCCCAGTCCAGCTGCGCTTCTCTCTTGAACCGCTTAGTGCCGGGGCTCTTGGAGAGTTTGATCTGGAGGCAAGGAAGGTGCCCGGAGCTGGAAGAACCAGCGTCCTCAGCACTGCCCTCGACGGGTGACTGGGATTGCTGGCTTCGGAGACGCCGGTCCGATGCCACAAGCGTTCTCCTGCCTTTCTTCCGCTTCTTGTCCAGAGTGTCTTTGGAAGAGACAGAGTCTTTCCCTGCAGTGTCTGAGCTGTTGTGTTCAGGTGGTATTTCCCCTTCAACAGGCTCTTTTTCACCTGCTGGGCTGTTATCCTGCACTGCCTCCCCTCCCAAGATTTCGGAGAGGGCTGTGCTGCCTGGCACAGCCTCCTCTTGCTCAAGGGAGCCGTCACCCACCATGCCCAGCAATTCGGCTTCTGGTTCAGCATCGATGCTTTTGTTCACGTCCGCGCACTGCAAGGTGGCAGGGGGTTCCGGGGGGCTCTCTCCAGCCACGGTGGCAGGGGGCTCATCGGGAGCCTGCTGGTCTGGCGCGCATGGGGAGGGCTCTGTGTCTCTGGTGCCTGGAAGCCCGCAGGGCTGTGTGTCCCCTGGGCCTGGAAGCTGGGCAGGATCCCCGGCTCCATCACGGGCCAGGGGTGCTGCGTCGGCAGCAGCGGGGAGCTGCAAGGGGGACTTCGGCTCCAGGCTGGCAGGGAGGGCTGGATCAGTTTGTACGTCAGAGCCTGGGCAACCTTCCTCCCCGCCAGGTGCTTCTGAGATGGGAAGGGCAGCAAAATCAGCAGCCTGCCCACCGCCACTGCCGTCCCCAGGGGAGCCCAGGCTGCTGCCAGCCTCCCGGGGGACGGCGCCTCCCACCACTGTCCCCCCTCCTTCGGCGGGGGGGTGAGCTGGCCGAGCTGTCCTCTTTCTGGGGGCTGGGTGGAGCGGAGAGGGAGAAGAAGGGCACAGCCATGGTGGCTTCCCTCGACCGCAGCGCCCGGGTATCCCAGGGCTGCACAGCGCCTGGCTCAGCTCTCTCCTTTGTTTCTTGGCTGGTTGGTGCCCCTTTAGCCAGGAGCCTCAGGGAAACCCTCTTCTTCCAACCTGCTCCCGCAGACCCCCCCACCGAGAGCACCAGGGGTGGCTTAGAGCTTACGAGGGTCTCTGTTCGCAACGCCGGGCTGCTCCCCCTCTCCTCCAACCGGGAGCTCTTAACCAGCGTGCGGACAGTCGGGAGCTCGCAGCACTCCCCATTGAAGTAGTACCCCCGGGTGCTCTTCCTTGCCGTCTTGCGGGACGACACCGACCGCTGGCTCTCGAAATGGCACTCGGTGATGGGCTGGCTGATGTAGACCACATCGCACTGGTTGTCATAGTCGTTGATCCTCAGCCCCGACGCCTTCTTACTCTTCCGAGTGGATCTGAGGGAGGCTGCCTTGGCGCGGGGATGCCCGCCGGGGGTCCGGTGGGCGGCTGGAGTGGTGCCAGAGGGCAGCCAGCCCTCTTTGGACTTGTCGAGTGGGCCCTTGTCAGCCGGGTGCAGGTGGCAGCCTGCCTTGCCCTTGGCCACGGCGTGCAGGTGGTTTTCTTGCTTTGGTCTCGCGTCTTGTTCCCTCGCGTCTAAGTCCTGCTGCAAAGAGGCTTTCGAGCTGCATTGCAAGGTGTTCTCTTTGTCGGCTCTGCGAGGGGGGGTCACCGCAAAGCCGGCATCCCAGGACTCTTCCGGCAGAGCTCTGAAAGAGCTCTTTTGGGACCCTAGACAGACATCTAAGCCATCCTCGCTGCCGTTCACATTTGCCACTTTGACCGAGATATAACCTTCCACGAGCGTCTTACCTGCGAGCTGCTCTTTACCATCCTCACACCTCCTGACACCGGCTTCTTGCTCGTGTCCAGCGGCTTGCTGCCCTTCCAGGCTCTTTGCGGCGTGATGGAAATTCAAAGAGGAAGAGTTCAACGTGCTGAGGTATCCTTGGGTGGAGCTATCCTTTGGACTGGCGGAACGAAGCCTGGTGACGGGGAGCTCGGAGAAGTCCCTTCTCAAAGCAGGGCTGGAGCTCTCGACTCTGTCCAGAGACTTCGGCTCCGCCAGCTGCTTCAGGGCTTGTCCTGAAACATGCAGGGGGCTGTCAGACCCCAGCTGTCCTGGGTCTAAGGAAGAAGGGGGCTTTGATTCAGTACAAGTAGCACCCTTATCCTGATTTTCAGTGCTTCGCTGGCTACAACCAGAGCCACAAGCGGAAGCCTCCATGCTCTGGGGTTCAGACAACGGCTGGCCTTCAGAGTCTGGTTGCACTTCAGTGTATATGTCGTTCAGCACGCGGATGAATTGCTTCTGGTGGTGTGTACACAGTCTGACCATAAACTTTTCCAGTGGAGACTTCGGCTGACTGTTGGAGTCTATTGCTATCGTCTCTGCCGCATCCTCGCTAGAGAGACAAAGAGAGAAGCAATTGGTAACATGTCCCAGGGAACAAAAGTTTTGTGCTGCAAAACTGGAATAACCCTTCTCCCCCCAGTCAGGCATATCGCTCGCCTGACCTCCCGGCGAGCTGGCAGGCATCCCTCGGTCCCCAGCCTGCACACATATCACTGGCAGGACATGGACTGCACTTTTGTGCATGCAGCACCCATAATTACACCTCTGCCTAGCACATCCTGGTGTGTAGGCACCCTGTGACATGTTCAGAGCAAACCTAAATTCCCCCGTGAGAATCAGATTTAGTGTCTGCACGGCGCCTGGCGTAGAAGGCCCAGCTCTCTGGGGACCCACGTGCACACCTCTCCATCAGAACAGCCAGGCTGCGTGGGCACAGAGCAGCGTCCCAGCCGGGCAGCGCTGCCAGAAACCTTCAACTACTCTACGTCTTCAAATTCTGCTTATGTCCTGGTGGCAGGAGATGGGTCTAAGGCAAACTGAGCAAATCGGAGCCTCCGCTGTACGGAAGTTTCGGGGAGCTGCCGGCCTGCCCTTGCGTGGTACGGTGCCTTGCCATTTGCACCGACCTTGGATTTAGGGCCACGGAGTGCAGCAGCTGTGCAGCTGATGGGCTGGCTGTCGACGTGCAGCGGGCGCTCACAGAGGTGTGCTTCTACAGGGCACGATCGCTGCCCCCAGCTAGCTCAAACCGAGGCAGTTATCATCTACCTGTTCATCAGAGGCAATTAATTAGGACTCGTTGGTGGAGAGGTTAGGGGATAATTACCCGGTGTTTGCATGAACCTGTTAGCAGCGCAATGCCAGGCGCCGTTATTGAGACTGTACCTGTTCCCAACGGCAGCGCGGGCGATTCCCACCCAGTCCTGCCACGCCGAGGGGGCTGCGTGCCTGGGCACCCAGGCTGCCTGGCACAGGCTCTCTGCCAGCAACGCCGGGTTGCTTCGCACTCATGTTCGCACTTTGCACCTCCCAGCCTTGCACGGGAGGAGTGAAAGTCGTTTCCTCGCCCCTACAGCCCTGCTCCCCCCGCCCAGCATCGGACGCTGACCTCACTCACTTGGCTGGGTCAAGGAGGACAACGCTTATTGCAGGGTTCGGGGCCAGGGTGGGGAAAAGCAGCTTTATCTACAGCGGGTTTTCTCTCCCCACACTGCCAGGCGCAGGGCTCGACGGGCAGACAGGGAGGAAGAGCCTGTCAGCAGAGAGGAGGAGGAGGGAAAGCCAGGGACCGGAACTCTGTGGCAGCTGGTGTTCCGGAGCCAGCCCGGGGAACCCTCACCTGCTGCCGGGGAGGAACCTCCAGCTTCCCTCGGCTTGTGGGGTCTGCTCCCAAGCTCCACAAGGCGCAGGGAAAAGCACCCAAGGGCCGCTTCGGGCTCAGAGCTGGCCAGGAGACACCTGGTCTCCTCTTCACCCAGAAGGGCCAGCGTGCCCTGAGCATCTCCTAGCCAGCCCCTGGCTTTCCAGTTTGCCCAAATTTCAAAGCATAATGAGGCTTTGCCTCTCCAGCACAGCCACTCATTTGCCTAAAGGCTTCTTGGGCAAGGTCTTCCCAAACCTGCTCGCAGAGGCTGAGCGAGCTTGGCTCGCCGAATGTGCTCTGGCACCCCCGGAACGTACCCCCCACCCAGGGTTAGCGACAAACAATGTA